TCGCTGCAACTTCCAGCAAACCTCCTCCACGTGGTGTGGTTGCTTAGAGACGCTGGAGGCTAAACCAAAATGTAAGGCTGAACCAAAATGCAAGCTGCCGATCGACGTCGTCGACGCTAGCTGGAGAGGCCGAACCAATGCAAGGAAAATACATGCAAAAATAAATCAATCAATTGACCGAGAGAAGGGCGAACTCACCGGCACCGGCGCGGAGCGGACAACAGGGGGCGCTACGGAAGAACAGCGACAGCAAGCTTCGCCGGAGAAGAAACCAGATCTACCGGCCGCAGAGGAAAACCAGAAATGGGGAAGAAAGGTGAGGCGCGGGTGATATGAAGGATTATATTCGACAGCCAAAAGCTGTCGAATATACAGAAAAAACGATGTCGTCCCCATAAATGAACATATTCGACAGCCAACGGCTGTCGAATATATTTGTATATTCGACAGCTTTTTTGTCGAATATAAATACTGTCGATTGAACAAAAAATTTCCATTATCATCGTCAATTTTACATCTTCGTCAATCTTTCTGTCGATTATGTACACATTTTCGACAGCAACATGGCTGTCGAATATAGTATTGTCGCTTATGCCGCGTTTTCCAGTAGTGCTGGTTGAAGTCGGAATTAATGGCGGATACAGCAGCGTTTTTGATTCGGAGAGGAGCGGGGAAGTCCGGGAATCCCTCGGCGAGGTTGATGGCGTTACATCTCTGAGCCAGATGAGAGAGTTCTTGTATGGGAGAAGGGGTAAAGTTCTTCGCCACGGATGAGAGCTTCTCTTCCATGGCGCGCTCTGCTCTGAATTATGATTCCTGTTTGTGTTTACTTCTCTGCCTTATCCAGTCGCTTATTCGGTTTTCGTTCTGAGTTAAAGCGGCGATGTGTGCCAGTGTCGCCAAAAGAAAAAGCAGCGGTTTTCGGTGCGGTTTAGGAAGAGTGCTGTTTTCCATTTACCTCATTTTTTTTGTTTAGAGGATGATTTTTTAGTCCCTAATTACATAAAATAAAATAAAAATGATTTAATTATAATATTATAAATATATAATATGACATGGTATTAAGGTATTTATGTTTTTGTTATTTGCAAATTATACAATAAAAAATTTTGAATAAATAATCTTTAAAATTATTATTCAGCAAGTAAGTTATTATTAGTAACTTCATTATGCTCATTTTTAGTAATTCAATGGCTTAACTACATTGGTAAGAATGCACCAAGGCCATGAGTAAGATCATAGTTCCATTTGCAACTATATCAATGATTGCATTTGAGATTGTGAGTAGCAACTTTGCTTTTATAATTATATAGTATTATTAGATATATGTATATTTAATAGTTTTTTTAATTATTTTTTAAAAAAATTATAGAAAACTATAACAGTTATGAAGTAATTTTATATCTAAAGTTAGAAGTCTCATTTTGAATCTTTTTTATTATATTTTTATGAATAAAGATGACAACAGGTCTCGCAAGATAATGATTATCTACCCATCCTATCTTTACTAAGATTTTGTGAGAATTTTTGGCAAAGGTAAAAAATTCCCCTCAATCCTCAACCCGTATGCTAAAAAGCATCAATGTCAAATTTTCTTCCAGATAAGTATCAAAAAATAATTTCTTTTCTATTGATTATTTATGATAAAAATTATTGTTTTTTTTATTACTATTATGTTTAATTATAGTATTTTTTTTTAAACTTCCATCTTCTATTCATTAAATTGGGTTTCACAGTATTTATAAAAAATAAATAATTAAACATCAAAATATCTTCTGATTACAATAATAATAATACAATACAACCACAATTACAGTATAGTTACAACTACAACATCTAACAGTAATCTCAAATGCATTCTACATCTATGTATTAGTTGTAGCCCTTCCCTAAATTACCCAAAGTAAAAGATAAAGTCTTTTTATAATTGGGGAATTGTTCACGTAAAAAATAAATGCAAGTGAGGAATATGTTTGGGTTTTAACAAAGATGAATTTATTATTATTTTTTACAAACAAAGATTAATTTATTATAGGGTGGTGCCATTGAGACAAGTTTTTTGTCTTACATTTTTATACAACTTTCATATGTTATTAAATGAGTGGACGCATTCAATATCATGAGTCTCATATAAATTAAAAGAACCAATCACTTTAATGACACGTCAGATTGTACAAAAAAATTGGGCAAAAAAGTTATACAAATATCATTTTCCTTTATTATAATGCTGAATGATGGATTTTCTATTAATTTTATTTTATTTTAAAATTTTATATTGTAAAATAATAAAAGATAGTTTTCTTCCCATTTTACTTATTTCGCTTAATCATTTAAATATCATATAATTCAAACTTAAAAATTTTTATTTTAATTGAGAAAAACTACAATGCCAAATGATATTTTATTCAATTAATAAATTCATATATCATATCACAAGTTTATGTAAAATTAATATTCCTTTTCATAGTCTCTTGCAACAAGTAGCTGTGTTGAAAGTGTACCTATCAAGAATGGCTTTGAGCACAATTCGAGTTACAAAGAAGTTTTGCCTTTATAAAATTCCCTCTTTATCAGATTATTGTGTAAAAGAAAATCCTTTGCATAGAAATCAATTGATTTCCTTGCTAAGAGGACAATGCATTTCGATACATAGAAAATCTTTGGAGCTTATACCACTTCTTTTTAGTATTGAAAATAATTTTACCACACCTCTTCTGTTATCAGGTTACTCAATGAAAAAGACATTCTTTCCTTCTTTCTTCTTTTTCTTCTTTTTTTTTTTAAATAAAAAATAAAAAAAAGTAAGTATTAACTTGTATTATAAAAAATTAAGTAAAAAAATTTTAAAACTACATAA